TACATTTGCTGTGTTCACCACACGTGTAATTACCCTCTGGACTCTCACTTAATAGATGCATAATATTTTCTAATAGGAGTATACTATAATTTAATTAACAGTTTTATTGACAAACATTTAAAGTTGATCCCAATTTTGTGAGTAGAAAAAGTACTGTAGACAATACCTTTATACATGTATTTTTATGTATAATGCTTTTATTTCTGTGAGAGAAATTCCTCAAAGTTGCATTATTTGGTCAAAGGCTATGCGCGTTTTTAAAGCTTTTATTTGAAGCATAACTTACATTAAGAAAAATATGTAAGAGGGCGCCTGGGTGGCTCAGTGGGTTAAGCCTCTTCCTTCGGCTCAGGTCATGATCTCAGGGTCCTGGGATTGAGCCCTGCATCAGGCGCTCTGCTCAGTGGGGAGCCTGCTTCCCCCTTTCTCTGCCTGCCTCTCTGCCTACTTGTGATCCCTCTCGCTCTGTCAAATAAATAAATTAAAATCTTAAAAAAAATATGTATGGGTACATTTTGTTAAGTTTCTGTTGGAAGGTGGAAGGAAGGACTGTATAGTATCCTCCACCTGAGAAGGCACTTAGGATTGAAAAACACAGAAGGCAACTCCATACAGTTTATACAGTTTTATTCAGGGTAACTTACAGGATCGGTTTGATGACTGTTTGGACATCTGTGCAGCTTTTCTCTGAAAAGTCCGTATCTTAGTCTAGATGTCACAGAGTGAGGGGTACACGCAGGAGGGTATTGTAGTGAGATCAGAAGGCTTGCGCGCACTTCATTGACAGCTAACCTTTCGGCGCCATCTGTGCTTCAGAAGAGGGAAAGACTGTTATCTCTAACAATCTCGTGGGAGTCCAAAGCAAGTCTCCTTGGAGGGTATTTCTAAGGTATGTATATTAATCTCCAAGGAGCCAGGAATACATAACCATGGGACAGGTGATTGAGCAGGTGGATGTGAACAAGATGGAGGGCTAAAGATAGAGCGAGTATTGTCAACTCTTCTATAGTTTCATAGAATAAACACACCTAAGTATCTCTCTATGTTAGAGATAGAGTATTGCCAGCACCCTCAGAAATCCTTTTCAGGCCTCCTACCAGTCAGTACCCCTATCTCCAACAGTAAAACAAAACAAACCTTGGGGGGAAAAATCCCTAATCTATGATTAACTTACTTTTAATTTTACCTAAAAGTAAGTTTGGATCTTTATATGAATGGACTTACACAAAGTATCCTGTTGAATGTATCATTTCTGTGAAAATTAAAATTACCCAACACTAGTAAATACAAGATATTTATGATTTACTAGTGCTAATGAGGCCAAAACATGGAATTCAGCTAGGGAAATACTTAGAATAGAGAAGATGACTTTGCTACAGTCATAGCTAAATGATGGGGAATGACTTGAATGTTCTTGAATCAACCCTTATAAGCAGTAGAGGATAGTAGGTAAACCCAGAGCCGTGCTTCCAAAGGAAAGGATTTCTTTTTCTTTTTCTTTTTTTAATAAGAGATTAATTTGTGTACAGCAAAATTCACTCAGTTTGGCAAACATTTCTTTGATGAACGTAGTCATGAAACCATCACCACAATACCCATGTTCCCCAAACTTCCCTTGTGTTCCTTTGTTAAGTAACCCTTCCACCTCAGTCCCTGGTGACCACTGGTCTGTATTTTTGTCCCTTAGTTTTGCCTTTGAGAAAGTTTTTAAAAGAGGTTAGAGAAGTTACTAGTTGGAACAGCACTGATAGAAAGTGTGAGAGAATAAGCAAGCAGGAACCCTTTGAGAAGGCTTTGAGGCAGCATTGTTAAAGGAGAAGCCCAGTTTCAGTTTAGGAAGGGAAGGGACATTTACTCTTAAGGAATAATTTAGAGAGCTTGTTGGAGAAGCTTGGAGGAGGAGCTGGCAGTAGGAGGCTATCACCTGACTATGTAACCTCTTTTCTGGATTTTTCTATTTAACAAGAACCATTTCCTTTCTTGAAATTTCCTTTTTTTTTCTTTTGATGACAAAACTTCTCTTCTTATTTTTCTGCTACCTTTTGATCTTTTTCCCTAGGGGCTTTTATTTTTTTCCAGCTAGTTCCTCAAGTATTTCCTGAAGTTTCTATCCTGGCTTCTTAGTCATTCACTCTTAGATTTCATCTCCTTTATCTAAACTGTGCTCTCTAATCGTCTAATCGTTAGCTCAGATTGCAAAACATCTCTTCTCGGCAGAAATAATTTTATATATATATATATATATATATATATTTTTTTTTTTTTTTTTTTTTTTTTTTTTAAGTATGAGCATGAGTGGGGGAGGGCAGAGGGAGAGAGGAATCCTAAGCAGGTTCCACAACCAGCAAGGACCCCTACACGGGGCTCGAACTAACGACCCTGAGGTCATGACCTGAGCCAAAATCAAGAGTCTGATGCCCGGGGCACCTGGGTGGCTCAGTTGGTTGGGCAACTGCTTTTGGCTCATGTCATGATCCTGGAGTCCCAGGATCAAGTCCCACATCGGGCTCCCTGCTGGGCCGGGGAGTCTGCTTCTCCATCTGATCTCTTCCCTCTCATGGTCTCTCTCTCTCTCTCTCTCTAATAAATAAATAAAATCTTAAAAAAAAAAAAAAGAGTCTGACGCCCAACCCACTGAGCCACTCAGGTGCCCTGCTGTCAAAAATAATTTAAAAAAATAAAAAGAAAAACCAAAAACTATCCATTTAAAAAATAAGCAAAAGACACTTTGGAAAAGAAGATACCCAAATGCCCCCCAAACATGTAAAGAACTCACTAGAATGGCTAAAATTTAAAAGACAATACCTAGTATTAACAGAGATTGTAGAATAACTGGATCTCTCTCAGTGACCTGCTTTCAGGAGTGTATATCTTGGCTGATGATGGAGTTACGTCCAGTAAACCCTTTGTAAATGGAAGATACAAAAATCTAAAATTCATTTAATACACATAATTTACTGAACATCTTAGTCTAGCCTATCTTAAATATGCTCAGAACCCATCAGCCTACAGTTGGGCAAAATCATCTAACACAAAGCCTATTTTATAGTAAAGTGTTGAGTGTCTCCTGTAATATTCTGTTCTGAAAGTGACAAACAGAATGGTTTTAAGTCTATAGGTTGTTCATCCTTATGATCACGTGGCTGACTGGGCGTGCAGTCACTGATGCTGCCCAGCATCATGTGAGAGTATCTACCACATACCAAAAGCCCAGGAAAAGATCAAAATTCAAAATTTGAACTCTGGTTTCTACTGAATGTGTATTTGCTTTCATACCGTTGTAAAGTAAAAAAATTATAAATCGAACCAGTGGTAAATTGGGAACTGTCTGTATGTATATCGTGTAATCTAGCAGTTTTACTCCTGGGCGTATACTCAAGGGAAGTGAGTTGTTATGTGTACCTTACTATGCTGTGTACAAGAATTATTTTAGCAACTTTGTTTGTAATAAATAAAAGATGGAAACAACCTAAATGTTCATGAACAGTAAATTGTGGTATAGTAATACAGTGAACTACCACTACTACTACACAGCAGTGATAGAGAACTATGATTTACAAACAGTGTGGATTAATCTCAGACATTGTTAAGTGAAATAAGCCAAACACAAAAAAGAGTATATACAGTGGGCAAAACTATTAAGTGCTCGTAACGTTAGAATAGTAGTTCAATAGGGAACTTTGGGGGTTTGGGAAATGTTATGTGTCTTGATTTGGGTGGTGGTTACCCAGGTCTATACATATATAAAATTCATCTAGCTAGACACATAAAATTGATATACTTTTCTGTGTAAGTTACACCACATTTAAAAAAAAAAAAGGGATAGGTTTTCAAATCCTATGTAAAACCATCCTTTTTTTCCCCTGACTAGTTTTTTGTCCATCATTTCCAGCTTTGACCTTATTTATTTTTGGACTTTTGCTATTTTTCTTCCCATTAACTCTCAGTATACATGTTTAAAAGCAATAGTAGATATTGGTAACACTAAAATATATCTGTCTCACCAAAGTTCTAGTCATGACCATTTCACAGTTATCAATAAATTAGATATTACTGCCAGTGCTTAGAGTTGTTACAAACTTTGATTTGTCATTAAGACTTGGTTCTTTTCAGTTCATGTTTCAGCCAGTGTCTGCTGTGTTTGTAGTGCCCTTTATCTCCCCGCCCCCCAGTTCATGAAGTTCTTAAAGTGTAGACAATAGAGTCTTTGTTTCTGGTCCTTAATGGGATGAGCTTGCATCAGAATGTAAATCAAATATACTACTAAGTAGACTGATTCTGTTCAGCAGTTTCTGGTTTTTTGTTTGTTTTTGTTTTTAGCAGTTTCTGTTTTTAATTAAGACTGCGTTGATGAGGAAGCAGCACATTGACATGAGTTTGTTCAAACTCCTTGTTTCATTGGAGACCAACACTTTCAGTAAACTGGGTTATGCTGTATGATGAGTTAACAATTTAATTCTGTCAGATTTGTAGTACATATTGATGGGGAAGGAGATGAGAGGCAGGGGTTATAGTGCCAATACTGTGGAAGGACCTTCTAGCATCTGAATTCCTGTACCATATATCTTTATGATTCCTTTATGATTTTTGGTGGGAGGCAGAATCTGCTCGTAACTATAGACAGGTAGATTTGGCCAAGCAAATGCTACCAGTATAGATCGCAACTTAGGAGCCAGTGAGGCAGAAAAGTGGGAACTGGCAGAATGTTGTGTTACGTTCTTTTAAGATTGTTATCTACTAAATATCTTTTCATAGAAACATTTTCAACTTAAATTAGCCACAGTGGGTGTTTATTGCTTCCAAATAAAAAACCCTGGTTGGAAAAAAATAGTTAAAAAAGTATTGTACTGTTTATTCAAAACTGATCACAGGCAAAATTGTTTTAAGTACACACAAAAGTTTTAAAATGTTTTAGACTAGACTTTGTGAGACATGTTACAGACTGTAAAGATTCTAAATAACAATTATTTCATTTTAGTGTTTGCATTTTAAAATTTTAGTGTGCTTATTGGACCATGTGCTGCTATGTATGCCTGAAGTACTTGAAATGCAAATTTGGAGACACTTTGCCATCTAAATGCTTGGCTGGATTAAGCGCCTAATTAGGATGGTTTTTCAACAGGTTGGAGGAAGCATGCAATCGGTGAGTGCTCCTAATTAATTTTTTAAATCCAGACATGTATATGTTTTGAGAATTTTTTCTGAGAACGTGAAATGAATTTATATATGACCAACATTTTAAATTCAATATGTTTATTTAAGTCATAGAAGTGAATCTTTACCTAGTATCCTAAGTACGGGAGTAACATTTTGAGTTAAATTGAAAATGTACCAATATTCATGTAACTGTTAAAAGCAGTGCATTCGTTAGTAGTGAGAAAAGAGATAACATAGAAATCATTGGATAAAATATGACTAGCACTTGACAACTCTGAATGTTGTAGACTTACTGAATCCCGTTATAACATTATCACATGACTTTTAAGGTAAAAGGTAAGTCATGTCTTCTGATAATACAACGACTATGTATGTGAAGAAAAAATGAGTATAATCTGTGCGAAAGATGCTCTGATCTTGATCTTATTTGAAGTATTTTCTACTGGTATATATCTTTTTTTAAGATCCAGTGTGAAGTTATTAGACCAGTAGTTGTGCCAGGCATGTGTTATGAATATTTGTTTTTCATTTTCACATTCAATATTTTGCATTAATAATGTGGAATTCTATTTTATTAAAGATACAGGCAGGTTACATAATATGAATATGGGTGTATATGTGTGTGTATATGTATACATATATGTATTTTTTTAATAATGGGTATACTTTTTAACATAATACTTGTACTTTTGTTTTTATTTTGTGTCGTTTTATGTCTTGTTAAGAGAAAGTCAAACTTTGAATCTCTCAATCCCCCCCCCCCCCACCACCCATTACATCTATTTTCTTTGGAGATAAAAAGCAAAGAACCAAATAAAATTACCTTTTTTAGTAGCTGCATAATTTTGATATTATTAGCTTGAGGATAAGCAATAGGAAAATGGTTTCTGAATTTAATAGTATTTTCATCTTTTTCAGTTACATTTTCCTGTTTTGAACTTCACTTAATGCATCTTATACCACCTTTCTCATTTGTTTACCATCATTTGGTTACAGAGAGTAGATTAACATTTTAGTACTGACAGTGAAAAATTTCTGTTGCTTCCAGAAAAATGGGAAGCTCTTGTAATTTAAAATTCCCCCAATGTAAAGCTTTACAATTTACAGTTCTTCTTCTTTCCAATTTTAGTAAGAAATATAATTTAAGAGAGGGGTACCTGGCTGGCTAAGCCAGAAAAGCATGCAACTCTTGATCTCAGGGTCCTGAATTTGAGCCCCACATTGGGCATAGAGATTACTTTAAAAAAATAAAATAATTGAAAAAGAAGTATAATTTGGTGAAAAGATCATAGATCCTGGATTCAAACAACTCTGGGTCTGAAATTGGTCTCTGCCAGTTACTTTCTGCATGCACAAATTATAGATAAGAAGAACTACTGCAGAGTTAGCGTGTGGATTGAATGACTGTGGATTAAATGACACCTAGTACAGTGGCTTGTATGTAGTATAGATACATTCAATAATGGTTAATTTTCTATGGTTTTGCTCTGTCATTCCCCCCAACCCTGGCCCCAAGTCAGGCGAATGTGACTAATGCTGATTGAGACCGAAGTGCAGAAGTTTGTTTCAGAAACAGATAACACAGTTTATTTAGCTTGTTCATTTAATTTAGCTTTGTTCATTTTGCCTTTCATCCATGTTCATCATGTTCATTCATGCCTTTTTTCATCCAAAAAAAAAAAAAACAAAACAAACCAGGTAACAGCATTAACTTACTCCCTATATTGTAGGGTATTCACAATTAAGGCCCTAGCAACTGAAAAGACTGTTTTTTTTTTTTTTAATGTAACGTAATCATTTTTTCCCCCCTTTTCAAAGGTTTTATATATTTGACAGAGCATAAGCAGGGGAGCAGCAGGCAGAGGGAGAGGGAGAAGCAGGCTCCCCACTGAGCAGGGAGCCCGATATGGGACTCGATCCCAGGACCCTGAGATCATGATCGGGGCCAAAGGCAGACGCTTACCCAACTGAGCCACCCAGGCACCCTCATATAAATCATCAACTTTAATCCGTTAACTGAAAATCTATATAGAAATAAGTTTTCTTTTAACATAAAGCAGTTTGATATTTCAGAATTTTTTAGTTTCTAAGATCTCTTAGCATGCTGCCCAAGTGTAAGAAGGTATAGTCTACCAAGATTTTACTTTTGGACATCTGAAAATAAAACTTCTTTGCTCCCTTTCAGTAGTAAATACATATTTTCCCATTGTTTGATAATGAACTTAATACTGTGTTTGAAAATATTCCAGGTAGAAACTGCCTTCATCCTTTACATGTTTTATCTGCTTAAAAAGAAAATGTGCAGCTTTGAGATTAGAGTTTTGTTTTTGCCATTAGAACAACTGTTGATTAGCTCTTTGTATTTTACTGTACACATCAGCACTGTAATGGCAGTCACTGATTGATTTACTATATCCAGTTCTTTTGCCTAAATTATGTATGTTCAGTAAAACGATACTTTGTTTTACAGGTATAACCACAGTCAGAGCAAATACCTAATTAGTATTAGTAATATATTTCCAGTAATACTTAAGAATTGTAACTTTGTTTTCTTTTTGTGCTTTGGAGGAAGAATGTCAATGTGGCTAAGAGTTTAGAGTAAGGAAGAAGAGAACTGTGGAAAGTGTTTTCTTTAATTGGGGATTTTAAATTGTTACAGTTTCATCTTCCTGTCTCTAGCCTCTTTCCCCAACACACACTTCGAATTTTCCCCTGGCTCCCTTGGAGTTAAGGATTTGTATTTTGTTGTGTCTTAGACTCCTTGAAATTTTGATTAATGATATGGACTTTATTCTAAAAAAATACCACATAAACACAGAATTTTGCATATAATTTCAGGGACTTGACCCCAGAATAAAGACCCTTGCATTAATATGAAATAGCTAATCTTGAGAAAAATATATTTATTTAGAATTGAATTTGTACTTTTTCCTGCTAAATGGTACCTCTGAAGTAGTAATTTAGATTAAACTGGTCTATAACAGATGAATTACCACATGAAACTTGAGTACAGTCATCACGATGAGACAGATGATAGCTTCAGATTCCAGGCTCACACTTCAACACTTCTACAATAGCATTTCACAATGTTAAAAAAGAACAAATTGCTTTCTTGTTGTCATCCTCCTCCTTGCTGTCATCACTTTCAAACACTGTTTCTAAATGTTAGGGACTGTCATTACTAGACACAGACATGCAAACACACATGCACACATTCATTATTAGATTATTTGTCAGTAGTCATTATAAAGCAAAGCAGAGTTTTTCTGTTCAATAATAATAGTTACTTAATTATTTTCTAGTGGAATTGAATTCTTATTTCTTAATGAAATCCATTTGGTTAGCAGTGCTAGTTTTCTCCCTTCTCTCTAACATCTGAAAAAATATTAATGACAGTTTATCTTTAGAGGAAGTCTTCCCTTCTCCTGTATACCGACAAGACAACAGTTCAGCCACCAGTTAGGGTAGGAGATACACTTGGGCCTTACAGTCTCCCAGTGCACAGATGGTGACTTTTCAGTACCATCTGTTCATTATTTCTTCACAGCCATTTACAATTTCTCCCACTCCATGATGACTGAATAGAAAAAATGAAGTAGGACCGAGTTTTAGGGTTCCTGGAAGTTAGCAGCTCTTTACCATCACTTTTTCCTAAAGTCAAGTAAAGGTTATGACTCCTCTTTCTAAATATTCTGGTCATTAGCTTACATAGACCCTTCTTCATATTTCTTGGTGCTAAGTGCTATTCAATTCATAAATAACAGAAAAACAGTGTTAGTCTGCTGTATATACTTTGAAAAAAATCACATAAAGCAATCTGTTTTTACTTCCTTTAGAATTTTGTATAAGAAGCCTAAATAGTCTACTTAGTCCTTAAAAGTAAAAGCTGAATCTTTGGCCACTTTTTCTTATAGAAGTCATCTGGTACTCTTTTTCTTCTGATATTAAGCAGATGGGAAGATAATAGTTGAAACTTAGCCCTGAAGCATGCATAGCAAGGAATGCTAAAAGTTGGCAGAAGTTCCTGACCTTGGCAAATCCTTTGCAAATTTTTCATTGTGAGTTTCTTGCCCTCTTCATCTCCAGTTAAGATCTTTGCATACTGAAGGGATGGGAGATTCACTTTAGACTCTGTAATTGTCACATTGTGATGCATAGTGTTCCACTACACCTACATCATAGGAGAATTTTGACTTGTGACTACATACAAGATTCAGGAAGAGAAGGGATGGTATAGGTGCTATTGCCCTGTGGGTTTCTTTTTAAAAGATTAAGACCTATGAACATGTATAAGGTAGAGTTTGCTTAAATACTGTCTTAGAATTACTTGCCCATATTCTTATTTTGTCCTTGGCCTCTTATGTTGAATTTGTAAAACTGATGCTTCCCATTTTTGTCAAGTCCTATGTTTTTCTTCTCGGTCCTCATGTGTTATTATTATTAGTTGTTTGATCAATCATTGGTGTGAATGATTTGCATTACTCAATTACAGGTAATTCTCTTCTAATCTTCACAGTAGCTTTGCCTCTTAACATTCTTTGTTTAATATTCATATTTCAAAATCGATGTCTTCTTTCTAGTGTCCTATTTCCCACTCTGTACCATCTTTTTAATTTATATTTCCTAAGCAAGAGTTCAGTTTTTATTGGTTATAGTAGCCAGTGTAGGGTATAGTACTTTCTGGACTCTCTTGGGTAATAGTCAGTGAAACTTCGAACATACTAATGATTTGTTAGGTAAAAGCTGAGGCATATACCAGAGCTATTATATACACATCCCCATGAACTTCACTTTGAGCCCTACTGTTATATCTAAGTGGGTTGAGTTGCAAAAATCTAAGAAGTCAGATTACTTCTATGCCCCTTTTACAAGTTGTGCATGCTTTTAGAATGGTTTAAAAGTCTAATTTGGATTATGTGTTGGAGCCACTGCTGTTTACAATAACATTTATCCCTTGTTCATACTGCATATGTTACGGTAATTCCATTCTTTAAATTAGAACGGCCATGGCATGACTAAAAAGGGTCAATGTCTATTGCTCAGAATACATGCCACTGATTTGGTATTACTTATTTAGTTTTAGAATATAATTGAATGTAAAATTTAATGAATTAAGAGGTCATATCATTCTTACTCTTTTCTTTTTAAATTGCTTTTAATAGCATACCACCTCTCTGCCTTTCTGTCCAGGCTTTCAAGTGTAGCACTCAAAACAGATGGATAGTTTTTCTCTTTAAGGAAAAATCATGTACTTGGGGAGAAGTTTCAAGGTACTTTATAATGATTTAACATTCTACATGTGTGTTTTTTTTGTTTGTTTGTTTGTTTTGCGTTTTGCTTTGGGAGCTTGTTTTTGCATAAAGCATAGCATAATGTCCTCTATGTATTATGATTTCATCTGAGGAATTTTGCTAGTTAGGGTCACTGCAAGCTCATTTAGCCTTTGTATAAATTAGGAAAAGATACCTTTACCTTGGGACAGGGCCTCACAAAAAGATGCAGTGCAACTGGATTTTGGCCTACACTTAACCTTGACCAGACATTCTTGTGTAGCAAACAAAAGCAAAGTACCCTGAATGGTACAACTTCAGATTCTGAACTTTGTACTGATTTGGGTTTGGTTTGAAAAGTCCATTATAACAAAAATAGCTCACAGTTTTAAAAAATTTGTGTGCATATAAAGTTCTAAAACTAAAAATACAGCAGAGGAGAGAGAAATTGTTTTCCTTTACAGAATAATATGAAAACCTAATGAAAATGCAGTTTTTACTTCAGATGTATTATTTTACAATTACTAGTTATTCTTCTGTGTTTTTTATATAATGCCTTACATTAAACTTTGTGTTTATCATAACCAGCTATATATATCCTTTAACTTCTAATTGAGAAATATTAGTACATTTCCCGTAACACGTAGAGCATTCTGATTCCTTAATTAAAGTGTCAACATGTTGTGCAATTAATTGTCCAGTGTTTTGTAGTAACAAACTACAAACCTTTATAACTCTTGTAATTAAACTTTTGGTTTTTCCTACTTCCTCAGGTACTTTGGTCTGGGAAGCCATATGGTTCATCTCGAAGTATCGTAAGGAAAATTGGTACTAACTTATCTCTGATCCAGTGCCCAAGAGTTCAGTTTCAGGTACTCTATATATTTTGAAATTTTATATTAATATGTGCATTAGAAATACAAATAGGCAAGACAATTTGAAAAGTAATTTTGAACCTTTCCCTCTGTTGATGCTACTGTCAGTAAAAGACAATAAAATCATAGTAAAGTCCTCCTAATTTTACTTCCTCTGTGAAGTGATTATTCAAGCTTTTTAAAGTTCTTAAGACACTTAATCCTTCTTAAGAATACGCAGAATACATCTTTGTAAAAGCATATAATAAGCCAAGGAGTTGTTAATTCCCAGGTGACCTCAAACATGGCCTTATGTTACTTAAGAAGCTTCAGATACTACCATTGTTTTCTTTATCATACCTTCTCCCTTGGACAGCCATTCTGTTCTCCTACTAGTTTATTTTTCAATATCTCTGTGGATTCCTTGTAAGTTGCTTTCTCCATGTTTGGTTTAAAGCTTAGCATTAATTGTAGGAACCATTGCTTTTAGAAAGGACAGTGTCAAGACGAAGTAATTGTTCTCTGAATGAGAGGATAGTGGAACGCTGATTTGGGAATACTTTTAAATGCACAGGTCTTAGAATTCTCTTATAGCACCAGATAGGGAGCAACTCTGTTCTTTGCTTGGAGATAAATTGTTATTTTCTGGATTGGGCTTTGTTCCTTATTGTTGTAATAGTTTTAGACATGTTCTTGTTTTTCACTAATTCTCTACAACAGTAATTCTGCAGAATATTTCAGTTCACCATTTAAGAATGTAAAGTTCAGATAGCTATACCAATTTTAAATAATAGATTAGCATATGAAATGTGGAAAATATATTTAACTCATAATTCAAAAGCTCAGAAGTGCCCCTGCAAGTTTATTTGATATTACTGATTTACTCATAAATCAATTCTCCTGGTAGATGGAGGTAAAAATCTGTTCCTAAGTAAGCAGTAGAAATTAGCATTTGTTCAGGTTGACTAATGAGATTGTTCATTATTGTGCTCATAATCCTGCTTGCAAATTGACTAGCAAAACCTTTGTACATCAGTTTAGAAAGTGACAGATTGGAATTTTCCAAGAAGTAATATTTTTATCAAACTATAGGCTTTTGAAAAAATAATGAAAATGAAGAAATCTGTGGTGGTAACTCCCAAGCACAATTTCTGAGAATTCAACTCAATTAGACACAAAATGCTGATTGCTTCATTTGCTAGCTTCCTTCAAAATAAACTACGGTTGTTAACTAGGGCTTATTAACTTTTTTTGGATTGCTCAGTTCCATTAAAATTTTCTTTTTATCTGTTAATGTATCTACTTAACCTAGTTGCAGGAGAACTTAAGCATGGTCTTTGTGTTCATGTAGCTAGAGATATATAGAAGAACTATATATATATATATATATATATATATATATATATATATATACACATATATATATATATATATAGAAGGTAATCTAGAATTTTTTAGTAAAAATTTTTTAGTTAAAACCCAAATCTGCCTTGACAGTGAGCTGAAATACTAGAGCCAAGTACATTTTCTTGGATCTCTCCAAGAGATCTTTTTCTCTGTGTTACTAGTCACTTAAAAAGGTATGAGCAGAATTAAGCCTATTAGGTTTAGTGCAGGAGCTGCATTTGAATAAAGATGGATAAACATAGGAGAGAGGGATAATGTAAGAGAAAGATTGGTGACCTACTTGAGAATGTAGTGAAAGGTAGAAGACATTTGTTTATATTGAGAGTTTTATTTCCAGTTGGTTTTACAGTATACTGAGTCTTTTCTTTCTTTCTTTTTAAAAATTTTATTTATTTATTTGACAGAGAGAGATCACAAGTAGACAGAGAGAGAGGGGGAAGCAGGCTCCCCACTGAGCAGAGAGCCCGATGTGGGGCTTGATCCCAGGACCCTGAGACCATGACCTGAGCTGAAGGCAGACGCTTAACCCTCTGAGCCACCCAGGCGCCCCTTCTGACTCTTTCCAAATTCAAGATCAGTATTTTAAAGATTTTATTTATTTGTTTGTTTGTTTGTTTGTTTTCCAGAGATCACAAGTAGGCAGAGAGGCAGGCAGAAAGAGAGGAAGGGAAGCAGGCTCCCCGCTGAGCAGAGAGCCCGATTCGGGGCTCAGTCCCAGGACCCTGGGCTCATGACCTGAGCCGAAGGCAGAGGCTTTAACCCACTGAGCCACCCAGGCACCCCAAGATCAGTATTTTAAAAGATATTTTATTTATTTATTTGCCAGAGAGCGCACGTGCACAAGCAGTGGGATCAGGAGGCAGAGGGAGAAGCAGGCTCCCTGCTGAGCAGGGAGCCCAACTGGGACTTGATCCCAGGACTTTGGGATCATGACCTGAGCTGAAGATGGATGCCCAACCCACTGAGCCACCCAGGCATCCCTGAGATCATATTAAAATGAATGTTTTATCTGCTACATATTTTAAGTTTGTATCTTCTGTTATATTTTAACTACATCTATCAGTAAAGTAAGAAATGTGGAATTTTTAAAGACATGCAATTTAGAGTAATAAAGTTGAAAATGTGTTTTTGCTATTTTTCTGGTTCATTTAAGGATTTGATTGATAAGGAATTTGTTTGGACTATCTAGGAGTCCAGCATGAGTAAATTGTATAGAAAGTCTGGAACTGGGGAACCACAGTTGGACCCAGAGAGTAGATACCATTATGGGGCCATATTCAGGAGACAAAAATCAAAATAGCTTAAACTTGCAAATAGGGCATTCATGAGTCATTTCAGAAGCAGGAGTTAGATAGTCATGACCAGTCCCTCTAGCGTTCCGGGTAACTTCAGTCTTTTTGAAGATTTATCTGAAACTTGGCATTTTATATTTACTTCCTATATTCCTTTTGGCTTTTCTTGCCATTTCTTTTCTACTGCCCACACTCATAGGCAACACCTTGACTCTTTCACCCTCAGAACTGTTTTACCTCTGAATTCTTTTTTTTTTTTTTTAAGATTTTTTTATTTATTCATTTGACAGATAGAGATCACAAGTAGGTAGAGAGACAGGCAGAGAGAGAGGAGGAAGCAGGCTCCCCGCTGAGCAGAGAGCCCGATGTGGGGCTCGATCCCAGGACCCTGGGATCATGACCTGAGCCGAAGGCAGAGGCTTTAACCCACTGAGCCACCCAGGCGCCCCCTTTCTTGGGTTATTTTGACAGGAACATTTCCCTCCATTTATCTGTGGTCTCTTCACTTTCTCTTCCTACTCTTCCACATTCTAAGAATCATGAATAGAAAGTTTAATAAATGCTCAGTTTTGGGGGGGCGCTGGTGGCTCAGTGGGTTATGGCCTCTGCCTTTGGCTCAGGTCATGATTCTGGGATCAAGCCCCGCATCGGGCTCTCTGCTCAGTGGGGAGTAACCCCCCTCCGCCTCTGCCTGCCTCTCTGCCTACTTGTGATCCCTATCAAGTAAATAAATAAAATTTAAAAAAAAATAAATGCTCTGTTTTTATTTTATTTATTTTTTTGAGAGCGGAAAAGAGAGAGCATGTGCACGGAGTACGGCCTGGGGGGTGGCAGTGGGAGAGGGAAATCTCAGGCTCCACACTCAGCAGCACAGAGCCCAGTGCAGGGCTTGATCTCACCACCCAGAGATGATGACTTGAGCTGAAATCAAGCTATCCAGGTGCCCCTAAATCCTCAGTTTTTAAAAAGGGACCATACTACTTAGAAGCATGAGAATACTGGATTTAGTGTTGTTTACACAGGTATCTGCTTGGCTTATTGTATGTCACTATATTAAAATATGGTAATTCGCTTTCAGTTGTTTTTATTATGGCAGGAATTGGTAGAAAAAGAATTAATCTGTAAGTAAAAGCTGGAGATTATTATTTTGCTGTGTTGCTTTTAAGAATACATAATTTGCATTGGGCTATAAACAAATGCTGGTAAAATAGACTAAGTCTAATTACTATTAAGACACTTTTTGGCAAGAAACTGAGAGAATCATGGTTCCTAATAACTGTTTATTTTATGAAAAGTCACATTAGGACAAAGTTAGCTCTTCTAATATTTTATTTTAGATATTTCAACTTTTATACAAGCTTTGTATTTTTCTTTGAGTTCTATTAATCAGTCAGTTTTACATTATCAGAATATATAAAACTAAAGTTATTGTAAAATTCTTGAAATATAATTGAATTTTGGATAATTTAAATTATATCAGATGTTGAATTAAATTTCTTAAAATCAGTAGAAATACAATGCAGTGACTGGATTTTTGCTCTGGATGAAATTGTTTTCATACTTTCTGAAAGGACTTTGGATACTTATAAATCAATATGTGCTAATTTTACTTATAAATTTTATAATGCCCTTGACTTTGAAGAAATTTTTTTGTCTGTTCTCTTCATTGTTTTTTTTTTCCCCCTTACTAACAATAGCTATGGTAAGACAGGACCTTGCTGGAACTTTTAGTAAGTTGGCTTTGTCTTTTTCAAACTTCCCTTAGGTCATCCATGCATGTCAGTAGTGGCATCTAAATCATCCTTCCAACAATTCCATGCCATCAGCCCCCTTGCCTGCACTGGTGTCTCTTTAACTAGTATTTTACTGAGTGAATTGTCCTTCCCATTCCATGCTTGTTATTCAGTGCACGTTTCAGCAGCAACTGAAATGCCTTTTTAAAAAAAGATTAGTGTTATTTTTCACTTTTATCTTGTCTTTTCGATGAGTTTGGTTTCCTCAGAGACTTTGTTAGGCTTTTTTTTTTTAAATGGCATAAATCATTGTTTAATGTAGATAAATGACTTAAATGCTAAGATGACCTTGTTTTGTGGGGTAGGATGTCCATTAGAAATGATAGATATGGTCAATGGTCAACAGTATCATCAACGTTTTCATCTCATTGAGCACATGTTACAGACATGTTGTTAAACTAAATCCATGGAAATTTTGGTTTGTGTTTTTTTTTTAAGTTTATGCAGAAAGCAACTACATATGTAAAATTGAGCTGCATTGTTTAATCCTTAATTGTGTTATAAATACTCTGAAAAGCTGTCACAAAATAGGTTAACTTTTCTATTTTTAAGTATTTATTTTTAGAAAAGTATCATTTTGCTTCCATCTGTAAGCAGAAATATCTAGGAAGAAAACTTCAATTTTTGTAACTTTTGTGGGAAAGGAAGAAGTTTTAAGGTCAAAACTTAATTTTGTTTTAATATACCTCACTTCCTACAAACTAGAACTGTATTACAATAAGATTTTTTAGAATAGTTACAATCAGATTGATCTTCATAAAGTCTAGCACCTTAGGAAGGTACCGTTCAGGTTTTACTTTTTTGATCTTTCACTTTTACAAAACAGCCCATTAAATACTGTATCTTCTAGGAACTTCCATGGGACTGGGGGCCCTTTTTGTTTAAGGATCTCCATGTAACCCACTTGGGACTCTCCCTATTACAATGTTATGGGAATATTAATACATTATTGTGTTTTCAGTAACAGATGGAAATAATCTTACCAGATTTCTCTGTGTCTTGAGAGGAGATGTGATGCCCAGTTAATTTCAGTTGTATAAGATACCCATTGACTGGATATCTGTGTGTTTATTGACTTATTTGGATAAATTTCTAAAATGTAAGGGGGAAAAGTAGAAAAATCTTTTTGATTTTTCTTTGATCATATCCCTTGACCGTGTACTTTCTGAGGAGTTTACTTCTTTTTTTTCCTTTCTTATGGCCACAGTTATTCCACTACATGCTTTAAAACATTTGTATTTTGAAAGGCTTTTCACCTTAATTCCATTATTATTTTTTGTTTGTCTTTTTTGTTTTTGCCCAGGATTAGATTCTTGAATATTTACCCTTTTAAAGCTTACCCTTTTCCTGTTGCCTGTATCTTGTCCTCCCCAAAAGCCATAATTTAAAGCATTTTTTAAAAAAGATTTTATTTATTTATTTGACAGAGATCACAAGTAGGCAGAGAGGCAGGCAGAGACGGGGTGGGGGGTGCTGGGGGGGAAGCAGGCTCCCTGCTGAGCAGAGAGCCGATGCAGGGCTGGATTCCAGGATCCTGGGATCATGACCTGAGCCAAAGGCAGAAAGGCCTTAACCCACTGAGCCACCCAGGCATTTTAAATACTTGATATTCTTAGTATGTTATTAAACATTTTTTTTCTTTTTTTATTTGACAGATCACAAGTAGGCAGAGAGGCAGGCAGAGAGAGACAGGAGGAGGAGGCAGGCTCCCTGCTGAGCAGAGAGCCCGATGCGGGTCTCGATCCCAGGACCCTGAGATCATGACCTGAGCCGAAGGCAGAGGCTTTAACCACTGAGCCACCCAGGCACCCTCTTAGTATGTTATTAAAATGTCAGTTTTCTAATGCTACTTTATTGATAATGTTAGGTAGTTATTTCAGAATGCTGGTATGCTAGTGCATACCAGCAGCCAGTATGTTCGATTAAAATTTTATTCATAATATTAAAGACATTTTGATTTTTAACTCTTTCAATATTAATGTGTTTGCAAGGTATATTTTGTCTTTGAGGAAAAAGCATTACATTTAAGTGTAGCTTCCAAAAGTTTGATCTGACAATGACAGTATTAAAAAAAGGTTTAAACAGAGCATGGGTTATAGCAGAATCTTTTTTTTTTTTTTTTTAATTTTGTTTGTTTATTTATTTGAGAGAGAGCATGAAGCAAGGGGAAGGGGCAGAGGAAGAAGGAAAAACAGAAGGAAACAGAAGGAAAAACAGACTCTCTGCTGAGCAGGGAGGCCAACGGGGCTATATCCCAAGACCATGGGATCATGACCTGAGCCAAAGGCAGATGTTTAACCAACTGAGCCACCCAGGCGCCCCTTGAGAACATTTTTGATAAATGCATCAATAAGTAAATCTCTTTGGCCTTTTTAACTTTTCTTCAATTACAAAGTCTGCATTTTCTTATTTATTTAAAGCTTACTGTTACTTATTTTTAGGAAGTATTAATCTGGTAACTTAATTTAAAAATTATATTCATTGGCATTGTACTTATAAAAAGACAAATTTAATTCAATTAAATTATCTTTCCTTTTTTTAAAGTATATTCAAGAACTTCAAGAATTTCAGAATATTCTCATTTTTGTGGTTAAGGTTAACTAGGGAATTCTGTCTTATTGCAATTAGTATTTTTTGTTTTTTACAGTTAATACTTTTATTTAAAAATTCATGATTTAAGGATTTTTTAAAAATATTTTTTCAGCATTTTAACAGCAGATCTATATAATACCCATTTTTATTATAATTCAGAGATTGTTATACATTCCTAGGCAACTGTGTGACATAACTAATGGTCCATTTTGTGGGGACCTTCAATGTAAATATAGAAACTGTCCATGTGGTTGTAACTCAGAGCTGATGATTTTCTTTTAGGTGATTAAGTTTTATTCTGACATCTTGGTACCAAAGAACTTTCCTTATAACTTACAGCTTACCAGCCCTACAACAGAATGGAGCCCAAACCATCTGGGAGAAGATGCAGTGGTGTCTTTTGCAGATGTTGGATGGGTAGCCAAAGAAGAAGGAGAATGTTCAACAAGACAAAGGTTAGTCTGGAAGGTTATCAGCTGGGATGCAGTATTTATTATTTTAAAAGGTGATATATTTGCAGTATTTCCTTTTAGTAATTTGATCTCTGGTAACTAAGCCCGTTGTTTTTCTCAAGCAGTCTTATTTTCTGTTCATTTTAAAGACTCAGTATTTGTAGAGTTCCTAGAGACATGTAACTGTCTTAAGTCTCTATGAATCATAGAATTGCCTGCCCTTTGGGAGTTTAATATTAAACGAAAAGGAACTATCGTAAATGTGTTTAGATAAGTAATTTTTATTTTTTGGGGGGCAGGGGTTTTATGGGGCAGAGGAACTTGTGATTCTTAGTAGGGAATTGGTATAATTACGGGAGAATGCTTCCTAAAAGTTAAGTCAGGATGAGTTTTGTTTCAAAGGACAGACTGTGTAAGAGTTAGATGCTTCCATTTATTTGAAAGAGTCTGAATGAATTATTGACTATGCTTCAGTCTTATGAACAGTCGTGCAGCATATTTCAACTCTTCATTCTTATTAGGCCTCAAAGATACAGAGATAAAACAAGACACTGATTTCCAGGAATATTTCTTGTGCTAGAGGAGATTAAAAAGGAAGTCAGTACTATAAAGTTGTTAAGTAAATACAGAAGGCCCCTGTGGGATGAGAGAGGTTTGGCAAGGCTTCTCGGAGGAGAGGACAGTAAAGCTGAGGAAGGACAACCAGCAGAGGTAGGAAGGTTTCATGGAAGGGAGAACTAATTATGAGTGTCAAATCCTAGGGTAGGTAAATTAAAAAAACGAGCAAGTTTCAATTTTGTTTTGCAGTTGGAAGATTGTCATTGACTTTAGCAAGAGTAATTTCATTTGAATGGTTTTAGCTGGATAAAATAAGAATCAAGTAATCCAAGAGCAAAGAAGGAATTTGATTTGAATGACAAGTAGAAGTGAGGACATAGCTGTAGATGAACACAGACCAGGTATTGCAGGATTAGCAGGTAAAGAGCCTTTCTTTTTAAAGATGTTCATTTTATTTTTTTAAACTTTCTATCTTGAGATAGTAATAGATTCTTCATATATAGTTGTAAGAAATTTTACAGAGACTTTTCTGTATTTCCTGTACTCTTTACCTAATTTTTTTCTAGTACTCTTTACCTAATTTTTTTCCAGTGGCAGCATCCAGCAAAATTGGTACAATATCACAAGCAGGATTTGACATTGATAAAAGTCAATAAAGTTGCTATGAACATTGGTGAACCAGATTTTGAGTGAACATAAATTTTTATTTCTCTGGGATGAATGCCTGTAAGTGCAATTGGTGGGTCATCTCAGTCAACTATAGTTGCATGTTTACGTTTTAAGAAACTGACAATTACATTCCTACTAGTAATGTGTGGCTTATCCAGATCCAGCCTCACCAGTCTTTGGTGTTGTCATTCTTTTTTCTTTTCTTGCCTATCTGGTAGTTGTGAAGTTGTGTATATCATTGTGGTTTTCATTTGTGTTTTCTTAATGGCTAATGATGTTGAACATCTTTTCAAGAGTTTATCTGCCATCTTTATTATCCTTCTGGATACAGTGTTCTCTTCATGTCTTACCCCATTTTCTAATTGGAGTTTACTCCAAGAGTTCTTTATTTATTTTAGATATGAGTCCTTGTCAGATATGTAGTTTGTAAACCTTTCTCCCACATATATGGGGACAAGTGAAAGCTTGTCTGTTCATCTACTTAACAGTCTTTCCCAAAGCAAAAGCTTTTAATTTTGCTAATGTTCAATTTAGCAATTTTTTTCTTTTATGGGTCATGCTTTTGCTGTCAGTGTAAGAACTTGGGGCCTAGTGTGAGAGTCTGCAGGTTCTCTCTCACTCTTTTTAAAATCTGTTCTTCAATTATTAGACTAACCAAAAGAATGAGGAGGAATGATGGGAAATTTTCGCTCCCAGACACCACCTTCTGTATAGCACGGGCCATTAATAGTATAAAGAGTAAACTACCATAAAGAATATTTATTTCCTGTGGAAAATTACTTTTCTTTTGAGTTCAGATTGCAAGTTAGGTTAAGACAAATGAAAAGAAACAAAATGTTAACTTATTGAGAGAAACAGTCTATTTCCACTGCTTTGGGCAAATCTTAAACAGGGTCTGAAGAAAGCATTATGTGTTTGAAAAAAAATCATGAAGATGGTAAATTGGTGTTTCCATGCCTTTTTTTTTTCTTTTTTTCTGTCTGAAATCATCACTGGTTAAAGACAGAAGTTACTTCATTTCTACAAAGGAATGCCATGAACTTTTAAGACAGGCGCTGTCACACTTCTGTGAACGATCAAAGTAAAAAAGGACATTGTCATAAGAGAAAAATAAAGACAACCAGAGAACTTTAAAGGCATTTAGCTACTCTGCTCTCCTCAATTAGTGTTTTTATATATTCAGTGATATAAAAAAAAAACAGAGCATGGAGCCTAGGGTGATACAAGAAAATAGGCACATTATAATGACATGGTGAAGGGACAAACATTCCACTGTCACAGAGAACCTCACATTGCTTAATTTCAGTTTAAGGGGTTATTTAAATTCATGGCCTTTTGGAAATTTAATGATATGTTGTGGTTCATCTGAGCTTGTCAGTTGGCCCCAAGCTGGCCCCACCTTTTCTTTTTTTTAAATATTTCATTTATTTATTTGAGAGAGAGAGAGAAAGAAAGAGCTTGAGTGGGGTGAGGGGCAGAGGAAGAAGCAGGCTCCCTGCGGAGCAGGAAGCCCGATATGGGACTCGATTCCAGGACCCTGGGATCATGACCTGAGCCGAAGGCAGATGCTTAACCCACTGAGCCACCCAGGTGCCCCAGTAAATAAATTTTCAATGTCCAGTTCATTTACTCCTTGAGGAGTCCTGAAGTAGCCAGTCTCTCCTCATGACTGTCCCCAGGAATTCGCAGCAATCCAGAATCTTTCTTTTCTGTCCTTTTGTTACTTTCAGTATGCCCCATCCAGTGAGTTTGAGGCATATGTCTGAAGCTTTCGATATTTTCCTGATTCTTCATTTGTTCTGGTAACATGTCTATATATCCCTGTCTTATAATGGAAGAAACCCTTATGAACTTGCCTTATGGCTTGAACTGGTCCATTTTGCTTGATTTCTTTCATTATCTGTTTCAGTGGAGGACAGGATTGGCATATCCTGTCTGATTTCTCAGTTTTGTTGGGACATGGTTTTTTTTCTTTTAATAGTTCTGTTTTACGTTTAAGTGTGCTCCTTTGATTTATATTTTGTAGTTTTCTCCAGTGAAATCATCTGGGCCTGGAGATTTGTTTTTGGTGTGTTTTAAAATTATGAATTCATTTTTCTCCAAGTTACAGAACTGTTCTATCAGTTTCATTTGGATGAAATCTCGGTTGTGCCTCAGGGAATTGGTCCATTTCATTTGAGTGGTCAGATTTATGTGTGTGGTATTATCCATAGCATTTCCTTATCTTGTTGATGTTTACAAGGTGTGTAGTTGTATCCTTGGTTTCATTCTTGATACTAATTAATTTGTACCTTCTCTTTTTTTTTTTCTTGTCAGATCTATTCATCTTTTCAAAGTTCATTCATCTTTTCAAAGAATCATCTTTTCAAAGAATCTCTTTCCATTTTTCTGTTTTCAATTTTGTTGATTTCTCCTATTTTCTTCTGGTTGTTTTGAGTTTGTTTTGCTCTTATTTTTCTAGGTTTTTAAAGTGGGAGCTTACTTTATTAATTTGAGGCTTTTCCTTTTTTCTAATACAGTAGTCCCCCCATATCTGCAGTTTCACTTTCCACAATTTCAGTTACCTACAGTCAACTGTGGTCCAGAAGCAGATGATCCTCCTTCTGACATATTGTCAGAATGTCAGTAATAGCATAATTCTACATTAATTCTACATTTACCTCACTTCATCTTATCATGTAGGCATTTTATCATCTGTTACCACAATAAGGGTGAGTACAGTACAGTAAGACATTTTTTTTTTAAGTATTTTATTTATTTATTTGACAGAGATCACAAGTAAGCAGAGAGGCAGGCAGGGGTGGGGGAAGCAAGCTCCCTGCTAAGCAGAAGCCTCAGTCCCAGGACTCTGGGATCATGATCTGAGCCGAAGGCAGAAGCTTTAACCCACTGAGCCACCCAGGTGCCTCACAATAAGACATTTTGAGCGAGATAACATTCATGTAACTTTTATTACAGCACATTGTTATAATTGTTTTATTATTAGTTATTTTTACTGTTTTACTCTGCCTAACTTATTGAACTTTATCATTGATACATATGTATAGGCAAGAACATACTATAAATAGCATCCAGTACTCTCTAAAGTTTCAGGCTTACATGGAGGTCTTGGAACATATTTCCCCATGGATAAGGGGAGATTACTGTAAAACCATTTTAGTGCTCTAAATCTCCCTCTCAGCATTGCTTTAGTTTCACCCTACAAGTTTCAGTATATTCAGTATATTTTTAAAAATTCGTTCACTGTATTTTCTTTTTTTTTTTTTTTTAAAGATTTTATTTATTTATTTGACAGAGAGAGATCACAAGTAGGCAGAGAGGCAGGCATAGAGAGAGGAGGAAGCAAGGCTCCCTGCCGAGCAGAGAGCCCGATGTGGGACTCGATCCCAGGACCCTGAGATCATGACCTGAGCCGAAGGCAGCGGCTTAACCCACTGAGCCACCCAGGCGCCCTGTATTTTCTTTTAAATTTCCCTTGAGATGTCTTCTTTGATCTATAAATTATTTTGAAGTTTGTTCTGTTTCCAGATATTTGGAAATTTTGCTGTTACTCCATTATTTAGTTCTAGTTTGATTCTATTGTGGCCAGAGAACACATGCTGTATACTTCCATTTTAAATTTGTTGAATTCTTTATTTCAGTGGTCCCAGATATGGGCCATTTTTGTTTATATTTTCTGGTTACTTAAAAAAAAGAAGTGTATTATGCATGGCATATCCTGTAAATGTCATTGTTGAATTTTTTTCTATTCTTCCTCATTGTCTCTTCTTACAGTT